TATGCTGATTTTTTCCAGTGAAAGTTGGCAGATAACTTTGATTAATTATTGATGCCTTTTGAAAAAAAGATTATCCACTTAATTCAGTGTTTAATCTTTGAAAACATTACTTTTAAGAATGATTTACATACTTCTTTTTTTCAATATCTTGATCAAAATGTGTTGTAAACTGTAAAAATCACACATACATGTATGAACCATGTATAGAACTGTAAAGTCATTGCTTTGATGATGCTGTTTTTTATATAATTAATAAATCATTGAAACAAGTACAGAAAACTTGAAGATTGTTTACTTATAACTTCCCATCTCTTTTTAGTCACTGTCACACAAAGTCTGTGTGTCCATCATTCATTCTCAGACATGCCTGGTTAGATCAAAGACAAGACATAATGGAATACATATGTACGTTGATTTGTTTCTCATTTGATTGACCATTGGTGGCCATTTTGGGGCCGAAATTCAACATGCCATCAATTCTCACTCATACTTTGCATTGACATCACACATGATTATTTTGTTTCGCATTGTGATTTAAAATATATAACTGGCAGTCATTTTTTTTATTTAAGGTTTCATAGATTTGGTTTAAATTTTGTACAAAGGCAAAACAGAATGTGTTTAGAAATCTGGTATGTCTGTGCAAATTAGTGGCTTACTGATGCACGTCATTTTGTTTTGTAATTCTATTCAAAATGCCAATCAGGTGTCTTTTTGTTTATAAGTTTTCTGTTCATTTCTTAGATAATGTTAAAGATTTGATTTAATTTTGAATAATGGTAATGATAAATGTTATTTTCAATAACATTTAGCCAACTTTGGTCTAAATTTAAACCAGTCAACTATTTTTCAGGCATGCCTCTGTTGATTTTTTTTGTTAAGATATACCAGTAATTCGTACACTTCATGCATGTAGATTGTTTTCATGATTTATCATTGTAGTTCTTAAAAAATTACATTAACACTGTTTCTATAGATCCTTCCTCCAAAAAAATGCACACTTCAGTAGGAAACCCCATCAGTGTGTCAGTGTCCTGCTGTTAATCAGTAAGTAAATAAAGTGTTGGACATGTAATACAATTGTTTTGTCTCAATTTACTGCTGCACCAATGCTTTTCTTGTAATACATCATATGAATAGTTCGCAGTATGACTGGCCTTCTGTCATCACATTGTCATGCATTTGGAATTGGCGTGTACAAGTGTATAAACTCTCTTCTCTTTCACTAGCAATAGCAATGTATTGGTGGTAATTCAGTGGTGTCTATGCTATTTTAAAATTTCGAACTACTTGGACATTATTGACCTGACTTTAGATTTTTGCATACATGTGGTTGGCATTCACCTACGTGATCTGCTGTCAATCAAAGCATCGCGAACACACTTTGAAGCATCGTGAGTGGAATGGCAAATGGTGGCCCAAGTGTTGAAGGCTGCGATGCTTAAAATGCCTGGGGGAGAACACTATATCTACATCTTTCGTAGTTTGTAATTGAAACACTAAGAGCTGGACAGGGACTATAATGTACAATGACTTACTACAAAACAATTTGGTTAAATTGTGGATTCTATGGAGAATTTATTGATTATTTATTCATATGCAAATTAGTTTAATTATGTCTGATGATTTTGATCTAGAATTGGCCTGAGAACGTACATAGGATTTTGCTTTGCTTTGATGAATTTTATGTTACCGCTAGCTACCTTAATCGTAAACCAATCTTCTAAGAGGTTTCTTTTGTTAGAAAATTTCTGTATTTACACGTGAACACTTAGTTTGAAGCATTACAAATTATCTACTTGGTTGTCTTGGTAACAAGGTTCACAATTGGGATTATTGTCATATAATTGCACTATGCAGGCTACTGTATAGAGGGGTTAAAGGTTGCACTCCAGTTTTAAATAGATTAATGCTTTTTGCCCTACACTATTGTATTTTCCAAGATTAGCTCATTCCATATTTTACCCGTTCTTTGAAATATTTTCATTGGATGCTTTACGTATTGTGACTTCATGTTCTCATGTATGTTTCTAACAATTACTGTATTCTCACAGTTCGTAGCTTGATGATTGTCAATTTCAAGATAGCTGAAAATCAGTGCATTGTCCAGTCTACTATAAAATGGCAATATTCTGATGCACTGCTTGCTTGTCAACTTGAACCAGCACCACTTCTAGTTTATAATACGACTGAAGAATGAACTACATCAGAGGCGGCGGCAGCTTTTTTTGACTGTGGGGGCGAAGATTTTGATGTGAATGTAAACAAATCGAGCGCCTAAGTCGCGACCTTTCTTGGGGAGTCCGGGGGCAAGCTGTTTCCTGCATTTTGGGGAACACGTTTGATGGTACACTTAGGTATATTTCTCTCACAAATATAGATGAGTGTTTCACCTTATTTTATTGTGGGGGCGACGCCCCACGAGCTATATTTCGTGGGGGCGACCGCCCCCCCTGTCCCCCACGGTGCCGCCGCCACTGTACATTCTGCTTCTTTTATTCGACGTGATGAGTTGAAAGCGCTTTGCCTCCATCATCTTCTAGTCTCGAACACTCAAATCGAGCTCTAGTTAAGCTGCTCTCAATTCCAATACTTCACTACTTGCATAGATTATTCTAGCTGACGTTGTCATGATTAATTGGTCACTTACACGGCTTGAGGTGTGAAAGATGAAATCTCGAATTTGCTGAAACTGTTTCTTCCGATTTGTGCATCAATGTTAATTGTCTATTGTTGTGCTTGTTCAGGAGATGCGTTGCATCGTGACGGCCTTAGTCTGTAAGACTACACCACTGCATATACACTACAATGCTACCTCTTGTTTTGTGTGTGTGTGTTCTTCTCAGGAAAATAAAAGTATTTTATTGAAAATCACCAAGAGACTGTTGGCAAGCCTAACTACTGCCAATAATCGGCGTAAACTTGAATTGGCATCTCAGGCTCAAAACTGATGACAAACCACATTTACTCACCACTCTATTAAAATGGGAAACTATTTGATGCAGTCCATGTAAAATTTATTTCAGACTCATTACTCCGTACCTTTGTGGGTTTCATGCAAAGCATTCACCAATTGATTTTCTCGACAGTAAGTAAGTAACCATGTTATTGGGTTCTACACGCACTGCATTCTGGACTGTGTATTCAAGGAACCCCGTCTGAATCATCTGCGACTTGGATTAATCAATATTGCTTGCATATTAATAACAATTCGTTCTATTATTATGTAGTTAAATATGGAATTTAAAGATGAAATGACTGTAAAGTTATCTCCCATATTTATAGATTCTGTACGTGTTGTGGAATTAATGAATGGAATGTCGCGTATAATGAATATATGCCTAGACCGTGCATTATGAACTAAATAAAATAATAGGTCTTGACAATTTGACAAGTATGTTGGTCTCTAATTAATAGGTTAGAAAGACCAAGCATTACAAGGCTTTGTTTCTGACAATTTAAATTATAATATTGTGTCCAAATCGCGTTTTCAAAGGTAATTAAAAAAAGACGAACGTTTGTCTGCGATTGAATAAGTTGGAATATACGTCTACATATCTCCCCTGTTATATACATCTCACAAGTGCTTGTTATCTACTTATAGCATGTATTACCTTCTAAAGGGGGTATTAAACAAGTATTAAATGAGTAAGTCTGATTGTAAATGAAATCAATAATGTAAATTTTATATTAGTTTGTACGACAGATTACATATGTGCATTAATCTGATAACACATACACATGCGTATTTCCAAAACTTACAAATTCATCTCCTAAACCTTAACTGATTTACGTGCTGTGACTACATATTCTGTCGTGTTTGACATATTGCCCTAATGCCCTCACGAATAACATTTCGTCTTCCCTATTTATGAATCCATGATATGTAATTGAACTGTGAAAATAACGTTGTATAGCTTAACTCCATATCAAGATTACTATATTTTCAGATACAAATTTCAGGCATTTCTGAGTTAAACGAGAATCAAAGCCTGTACTATTTAAAAGTTTGCATTCTTGATGAGGCCTTGCCCGCAACTCCAGTTAGTGTTGATAATAACTTCATTTGTTTATTCGTTTAGGAGGTGTGAATATAGAAATCACGCAATTTCATGATATACGGTATTTTATTTTGTAATAGGTTTAAGGGATTAATAAATTAATAAAATAAAATGGTCATTTTCTTTGTAATTATCATTATTATACATCTGTCGACGTAACGCCATACGTTACAGCGTGCCCTTAATTTTGCGGTATTTTACGTGGTATTTTCATCCTAACATAAAAGGAAATGCGAATTCCATATATGGAATGATAACGCTTCCACCATGGTTTGACCGGTGACTCCACACAAAGAAGTTCGCTGATTCTGATCTAAACGTTTTGGATTTCGGAATTCCCATAGCGTATCATTGGAAGGAAAAGATGTATAATAATAAGGTTATTACGAGAATACCTCAAAGTATGCACTCAGACAGTACACCGTCGCATCGACCTCCGCAATACTCCAGCTGTACTGTCTTTGTGCATACTTTGAGGTATCCTCGTAATAACATCATATTATTCCATATCAATTTATGATGATTAATTTATTTGTCAAAATGCTTGGTGTGCCCTTAGTAATTTA